CCTGCTCGGGACGCAAGAAAAAAGACTTCCAGGTAACAGATGGTGACCGAAACCTATGGAGCTATGGATTTAGAAAATCATTCAGCAGAAGATTAAGAACGAACAGTTAGAGAATACACTTGTAATCCCAGCACCCTGGGAGGCCAAGGAAGGAAAACTGCAAATTCTAGCCCAACCTGGACAACTTGGTGATTTAGCAAGACCCTGTCTTAAAATTTTCTTTTTTTGTTGTTTTGTTCTGTCTTTTTGTTTTTTGAGACAGGGTCTCATTACGTAGTTGAGACTGACCTGGAACTCACTATGTAGCCCAGGCTGGTCTCAAATTCACAGCGATCCTCCTGCCTCAGCCTCCCGAGTGCTGGGATTACAGGCGTGCACCACCACTCCCAGCCTTGTCTCAAAATTTTAAAATTGCCCAATGTGGTGGAACACACCTGTAATCCCTGCATTGGGGTGGCTGAGGCAGGAGGATCACCATAAATTTGAGGCAAGCCTGGATACACAGTAAGTTCAAGGCCAGCCTAAACTGCAAAGTGAGACCCCCATCTCAAAAAACAAACAAACAAACAAAAAAATTGTAAAGGCCAGGCATCCAGTTCTGTGCAAAAGTCCTGGGTTCAATCCCCAATACCAAAGGGGTCAGAGTAGCTGGGAATACAGAACCAGGAGATAGTCTGCAGCCAAAGGAAAGGTTCACAGGCCAGTGAGCACAAGGCAGCAAGACAGAGGCTGCAGGTGAAACAAGGACATTCCCTGGTTTGACAACTATCATCAACCTTCACCGTATCTTCTCTTTTTTTCAGGCTTTCTCTTTTGGTGGTTGTAAGAATCTAGGTGACCTGAGAGGTACTTGATTCTTCCCATATGCAATAATTGAAAAGTTTTAGGAATGATTTGTTAAATGATAGCAGTTGCATGGTACTATAATCTTGCCTTTACTATGCTGAGCACTTGGTATGGTTCCTTGGGGTCTTACTGCCTTATATTTCAAGATTCTGCATAAACAGGATGTTAACAACTCCACAAGATTAAGGCTTATTTGCAAACACTATTTTTTTTTTTTTTTTGAGACTTCTATGCTGTCCAGGCTGCCTGCCAAATTGTAATCCTTCTGCCTCAGCCTCCAGGGTAGCTTGTATTACAGGCACATGCCACAGTGCCCAGTTTGCAAACACTTTTAAATCATAACCCTTCTCAGTCTACAAATTCCTTTTGCATCTATTTTCTCATTCAACCACCTTTCATACTAAAAAAGGTGTTAACCTCTTTACAGTGCTTCACTGGTGCTGGGCTGTAGCTTAGGACCAGAGTGGTTACCTAGCATGCTCAAGGCCTAGATTTATCAATATTAACAAAAAGAAAAGATCATCTGGATTAAATTTAGTACAGCAGTATACACCTGATATCTCAGCTGCACCAGAATTTGCAGGAAGTTGCAAATTCAAGGCCAGCCTGAGTAACTAATAGAAACTCCACCTCAAAATAAAAATTTAAGGGCTCTGTGCCGCGTGTTCAAACTCCAGCATTGTATTAAAAAAAAAAAAAAGTTGATAGTGTAAGTAGACATGAAATATGGAATCATTCAAGATTTACTACTTTGCACCAGTGTGGTGGCACACACCTGTAGTCCCAGCACTCGGGAGGCCAAGGCAAAAGGAGAGCCATGGCTACACAGTGAGACCCTGTTTCAAAAACAAACAAACAAAAACAGATTTAGGGCTGGGGATTTAGCTCAGTGGTGTAGCTGCCTGCCTCACAAGTACAAGGTTCTGAGTTCCATCTCTGGTACAAAAAAAAAAAAAAAAAAAAAAAGATTAACAACTTTGTAAACTAATAAAGAAGCATGCTTGAGAAAAGATCATTAGCTGGAGCTGTCCCCCTTACTCAGATTCTATTTCCTGTTGCACTTCCCTCTACCAGAAGGGCAGAACAATAAACTTCAAAAACAGGTAAATTAGGTCAGGATTTAACTAAGTAGCACTGTGCCTACTCTGCAAGCACAAGATCCTGAGTTTGATCCCTGGTACCAAACAAACAAAAACCAGGCAAGTTAGTGGTTTTTCACAAATGAACAAAAAACTCCAAAATCTTCAAGGGAGCTTAAGGGAGCAGATAAAGTACTGCACCTAGGATAAAACACACCATTCCCCCACCCGCAGGATGTTTGTGGCTGTTTGTTACACTTGCTCAAATCCAAGATTAAGCCTGAAGCCTTCATGCAGTTCATAGGAAGCTCTTTCCTGAGGTACTTGGTAGGACTACCTTATGAACGCACCATCCTCCACCTGCACCCAACTGCTCCTGAACTAAAAGCCCATTTAGCTCCCCAGATCCTCAGCAGCTGTCTGTCCCAGGACCATCACTTGGTATCAAGCCTATTATGTCACCCAATATGGGCTTTCAGTATTGATACATCTGCACTCGCTGACTACCCACACCTCTCTTATTATAGATCCAACTTCCCTCCTCCAAAATGCAGTTGCCTTCAATCACTGCAGTGCAGCCTCCTTGTTATGACATTTGGATCTGAATAACCTTTCCAGGGATGATCTCACTGTCCTACAAACAAGTGAGCAATTTGGAAACCTGAAGCATCACACTGGTATTGGAGTCATTTACTGTTTACTGCTTATAAAATGAGCCTTCAGCATTCCTGGCAATGGAAAAAGCCGGTGCAAATATATGCTGATCTCAAAAAGTGCTCTCTGAAGCAATGAGAACTAAGGCGTGGGGACTGACGGCATCCAAAGAGGTAGGGGAGCACATTCGGGTGGAAATAACAGCCTGTCAATGTCCAGGGGCAGGAGGGGCTTGGTGCACACAGAGTAAATAGGAAACCCTGATGGAGTGCAGTAAGCAAGGTATGAGCCAGGTGAGACTTGAGAGAGGTGTGGAAGCCAGATCTGCAGGGCAGAAACTCGTCAACTGCATTCTGTGTGGCTGAAGAGCCATTTTGTTTTGTTACAGGAATAATGTGACCTGATTTATGTGTTTAATAGACTTCTCTAACTGCTCAAAGGTGGACAGAGGGAGGGTACTCCAAAGTGTTCAAATGAATGATTAGAGCAGCTTAGACTAGAGTTGGCAACAAATGGAAATATATGAGAAAGGTGCGGTTTTGTTTTGGTTCTTTGAGACAGGGTCTCGCTAAATCACTCAGGCTGGCCTTGTACATGTCATCTTCCTGCTTTAGCCTCCCAAGTGCTGAGATTACAGGCTGGGTAAACAGGTATGCTCCAAGCGCCTAAAGTGGGGTTTTTAAAAAAGATAATATTTGGGCTGAGGATTTAGCTCATTGGTTCTGCCGCCTGCCTCACAAACGCAGAGTCCTGAGTTTGATTCCCAGTACAAAAAAAAAAGAAAGAAAGAAAGATAATTCTTGACACAATAGCATTAAGTAGGCCGGGGATTTAGCTCCGTGGTTCTGGTGCCTGCCTCGCAAGCACAAGGACCCAAGTCCCAAGTTCGATCCCCAGTAACAACAACAACAACAAAAAAAAAACAAGCCTTAAGTAGTACAGTCCCTTATAGTCCCTCTTGTTGTTTCGTTTTGTTTTTTGTTTTTTAGTTTTGGAGAAGGGGTCTCACTATGTAGCCTAGGCTGGCCTCAAACTCACAGCAACCCTCCTGCCTCAGCCTCCTGAGTGCTGGGATTACAGGTGTATGCCACCATGACCAGCTCCTCCAGCCATTTTATAAATGACAAATTGTATGCAATTCTAGACACACGGTTCCAAAATGGAACCTTAGAGGTCAAATACAGTCTCCAGATACTTTTTTTTATTTTGGCTTCAAAGTTCTCCTTTGAAATTCTGAGTTAATTTGATACCTGAAAAAGCAGGATGTCTGATTTCTCTTGGAGATCACTAAATCTGGCAAACACTGGCTCTTGCTTCCATTGGGTGTGACTAGAGCACAGGCTTTCTAATTTACCATAACCGCCACAGCCAGCACCTTTTATTCATTTGTATCACCTGCTGCAAAAATATTTGCATTTCTCAATCCTCTAGCCTGGAAGTATTTAAGGATGTCACAAACCCTTACTCACATAAAAGCATCTCAATGTGAACCTTAAAACAAACAGGTTCACCTCAACTCACTTTAACACAATTTTGATCAAAAGATGGCTTTAGATCTCATGTGGTCTACCACCTTGTGTCAGGGACCCAAAACCTGAAAATACACGCCCTGCAACAATTACACTCAGTTACCACCAAACCAGAGAAAAACCTGGTCCCACTGCTCAGATTGGCTCATTCTGCACACCAAGAAGCAAGGTAAATACTGTCAGACTGTAAACTCCCCAAGGACAGAGACTGTCCCTGTGACATTCCAGGCATGTAAACAGAATCCAAAACCAGCTCAGTAGCTGGACATCTGTAAGAATTCTTAACCTGACCAATTCTCTTCCACTAGAAGTACACATTATTCAAGAGAAGTAGAAATGTCTGTCGTTTACTGCAAAGAGCGTCTCTAAGGTGCCAATATATGCGCTATTATTTCACAACTGAATTGTTTGGGGCCTTGGAAATCTCTTTTCGTCTCTACTTCCTCCACCCTTGTTTTCTCTCATCCCATTTTCATCCCCACCTTACTTCTACCCCTGGCCAGAATAAAAGAGATACACTGATCAAAACACCACTAACTTCCAATCTATTTTAAGCTTCAACGATAAGATGGAAGGAATCTGCAAAGTTTGGGAATCAGAAAAGACACTCATAAATCCATCACCAGCACTCAACAGCGTCCTTTCCATCTTTTCCACACCAGCTGCGGGATCTGCTCCCCAAGGTTCCTTTGCAGAAAGCGGGTAACAACCTTAGTGAGTTCTCCTGGGTGAAGGTGCATGGGCAAATGCACAGTGCATGGCACACACTCGGCCTCCGACCAGTGGCTGCCACCGCAGGAATCTGCATACCGCTCGGCGAGGTGGGCAGGGCCACCCTGGGCCTTCGGGCAGTCGGGGAGGGACGAGGGGTTCGGGGTCCCGGCTCACCCACCTGCAGGCGCACGTTGAGCATCATGGAAGCTACGATGTAGAGGTAGGGGAAGTTGATGCGCAGCCGCCAAGCCAGGTCGAAGAAGATGAGCAGCGTGCGGGTCAGCCCCTTGCAGAAGACCCCATAAGAGCGGGCGGCGGCCGAGCGCGAGAACCGGACAGCCAGGCCCGACAGAACTGCCGCCATATAGAGACGCTCTCCGTGCCCGCCCAC